TTTCCTTTTTTTTTTTTTTTTTTTTTTTTTTTTTTTTTTTTTTTTTTTTTTTTTTTTTTTTTTTTTTACTTTAGTGGTTTTACGAGATTACCTTTCTTGTTGCTCACTTAAATGATATGCTGCTTCTTTTATGTCCATGAACAATCAATAACAATAATTTTCTATGCATAAATAAAAATTGAGAAATCAACCTAGGATTCTGTAATCTCAAGTCAAAACTCTTGAATCCAAATCCGTATCTTTAAATGGAAAGAATCCAAGGCTAAAAACAAGTTTTTGCTTCATTAGATGAAAATCCTCTCGCATTTTCTATGTTTGGAAAGCAATTTATTGCATGAAAATACCCACACACTTCTCATTGACCTAATACTTCTCTTTTTCCTTTCAAAAGAGGCAAATTGCAACACAGATAGCCATTTGGATTCTAATTTATGTGGATTCTGTCACATAATAACTATCTCATGATGATATATAAAAAAGGTCAAAACTCACAAACTTTACTTATTCATATTCACTGGTTTTGTTAGTTATGGCTATTAGAGACTCTAAGGTCATGATGCCTATGTTTCTGGCAATATTTTTTCTGATTTTTGTTGCAGATTCAGTTCAAGGATTGGGAAGATTACCCACCAATGAAGAAGATATGGAATTGGATAGGCAGCTCAAACTTATCAATAAAGCTCCACTCAAGAGTTTCCAGGTCAAATTTCTAAAATAATTCATTGTCAAAGAGGGTTTGATATTTCAACGCCTTGATTTCCAAGAAACAAACAGGATTGTCCTCATTATGGTGATAACCAAATACAAGATTCGAATCTTACTAGTTTCATTTCTTCTTAATATAGTAAGATTTATTGGCTCCACGCCGTATTAAAAAAAAAAAAATACTAATAACCTCCCACTACTTGTGACCAAAATTTGTCATTGGAACTTTTTATAATATCTTAATGCAAATCACCCAAAAATGAAGTGTTTAGTTTCTTTTTTTTTTTTTTTTCTTTTTTCGAACAGACTGAATATGGTGACATTGTAGATTGCATTGACATCTACAAACAACTTGCTTTTGATCATCCCATGCTAAAGAATCACACAATTCAGGTGAACCATTTCCTCTTATTTATTATCATAAATGGAATGATAAATTTTTGGTCTTTGAAAATTTGTTTGTTATAACATTAATCACTTGGTGTTTAATGCAACAGATGGAGCCTAGAACCATTCCCAAAGAGGTGGGAAATGGAGCTTCAACAGTCTATAAATATTTGCAATACATGCCCAAGAACATAAAGTGCCCACCAGGATCAGTCCCCATCAAAAGGGCTAGCAGAGAAGATCTCATAATGGCAAAATCTATAAAGTCTTTGGGATTAAACTATCCAACAAACAGTCCTTATCATGGCAAAAATGTTGACACTAGGGGCCACCATGTAAATATACTAACAACTATTTTATCCTCTTGATTATTTAGTTTTTCTACACATGAAACTTAATTTCTTCTATTTGGGTTGATATTTTTCTTCCAATTTTTTGCTGGTTTAGTCTGCAGTGCTTGAGCACACAAGCGGAAATTTCGGGGCGAGAGCGCGCCTAAGTGTATGGAATCCCAGTGTTGAAGAAAATCAGTTTAGCAGTGGTGGAATGTGGATTGCAAATGGCGATGTAGATGAGCTAACTAGTATACAAACAGGATGGATAGTACGTATCTACTTCAAAACTGTTCTTCTTACTTTCTTTTGCAATTAGCCTTTTAGAGTTGTTCTCATGGATATCTCAGTGACAGTTTTGAGTCTTACAAATTTTGATCACAATAAAAATCAAGTCTAGCTTGACAATGTAAAAATATGGGAGCCATTACGATAGTGCACATGTTTCCAAATGCTAGATCTGGTTAAAATTATATAAAATTAAATAATTGCACAAAACTGATAGAATCTGATACAGATTTAACAGTTCAAAATAGAGCGTTACGAGTAGGGTATTTTTTCATTCCCTACTGTAAAGTTTTCTTAAAGAATACAAGGAATTAGACAGAAATGTAGTATATGCTCAAGGGTGTAAAAAATTGGAAAGTGTTGAGCAAATGCCATGCCTAATGATAGTAGACCTTGCTAATTTGTGTATTTACTTTTTACTTCAATGACATTATGAACTTGTGAACAAGGAGAGGGAAAAAAAACACTTATGAGCTATATCAGTTTTTGTAATTTGTGGACACAAAACTAGCATAAAACGAGAAGAATAAACATAATTTGTGTCTGCAATGTTTGTTGTTATGTGATACAAATTACAGGCTATAAGTACATTTTCTCTTGCTTTTCAATGCTTTCAGGTTCATAAAAATTCAGGAGAAAGCAGATTGTATACCTATTGGACTGTAAGCGTAAAACTTTCACATTCTTAACTTTTTGTCACCTTAAAAAAAGAATCTTGATATTATCTTCACTAAGATGTAGTTTATTTCTACCACATTGTGGTTAATCCTTTACATGGTTCTTGAAATCTTGGACACAGGCTGATGGTTATCAAAATACTGGCTGCTTTAATACTCTTTGTGAAGGATTTGTACACGTTAGCCCGAAAATAGCCCTTGGCCTTGTTCTACCCCATTCCGTTGTCAATGGCTCTCAATTTGATGTGCTACTCAGTTTGCATCTGGTGAAAGATCTTCCTTCCCCTTAACTAAATTAACCGACCAAACCAACCAGACCAACCAATTAAAATCCAATCAATCGATTTGATCGGCTTGAAATTCTTATCTTTTTATCAGTTTGTTGGTCGGTTTTAGGATCTAAATTTTACCTACGTATGTATTTTGAAAACATGTTCATATATATGTATATATTTGAATTAACAGGCACTTCAGGAAAAAGAAAAAAACAAATATTAGCTTGGGTTTTTTTTAATCAAACAACAATTCTTATTTTTGTAGTGTTGACTATTGTATAAATGATTCAATGTGATTTTAGGCTTTTTAAGAAAGTTGTTTCATTTGATTAAAAATAAATCATATAAAAAAAAAAAGTTGCAATGGGGTCACATTTTTGCAAAGGTCCATAATTGTTGGGCCTCTAAAACTGATTATGAACGATTTGATTGAAGAGAAATAGTAGAAAATAGGCCGAAAAATTTAAGAAAGTATATAGGCCAATTTTTAGTTATAGAAATTAATAGGTCATAACTTGTCAAGTTATGGTTCATAACCAGATAAGTTATAGATAAACTTGTCAAGTTATGGTTCATAGCCAGACAAGTTATGTACACAAATTGTGAATTATGGTCAATAACTTGTCAAGTTATGGTTCATAACCGGACAAGTTATGGACGAAAACAGTAATTTGACCTATTTATTAACTTATATAAACTATTGACCTATTAATTTTTATTCATCTCAAATCTTGACCTATTTTCTTCTTTCTCCCTTGATTTAATTTAGTTTGATTTGGTTTGTAAAGGTCAATATAACTCACTAGTGTTGTTTGGTCGTCGAAAATAGGACCGAGTTTCGGGACATTGGTGGCTAATGTTGGAAGACAAATACATCGGTTATTGGCCAAGGACAGTGATCCCTGTACTAGGTGGTGGCGCAAGGTTTGTGTCATGGGGAGGACAGATCTACAGCCCATTGAACGTGCTCAGCCCTGCAATGGGAAGTGGCAATTACCCTGCAGATGCTATCGGAGTAAACTATGGAAAAACAGCTTATGTGAGGCAGATTAAGGTTGTACCTGATTATAAGGACAGCGCCAAATTTGAGGACCCACAATTAGAGGATATTAAGACTTGGGCTGACAAGCCTGTGTGCTACAAGGCCCAAAAGTTTGTGAATGAAGTTAGAGGTTGGGGCTTTCAAGTTTACTTTGGGGGACCTAGGGGTTGTACTTTTTAGAAGCGGTAATATATTTACTCTTGAAGTCCCATATTTGTCATGACTCATTAGAAGCACAGATAAATAAATTCGGTGGACGTTTGGTTCATAGATTTTGAATTATAATTCATAATTATTTTCGGTTTACGTATGTTTTTTGTGAGAAAAAATACTGTAGCGAATCACGAACCATGATTCGAATCATGACATGAATTTAGCAACCAAACAACCCATTAGTGTTTTTTTGTTTCTGTTCTTGTCTTATGAGTTTATTACTAGTTTAACTATACTAAAGATTTGGTAAAGAAAGAGGGAAGAATTAACTTATTTTTTGGGTAGATGGAATCATACGACGTTTAAAAATCGACGACATGTCGTTTTAGAGCATAAACGATAAAAGACTCTTTTTCCCAATGGAATTTCAAACTGTCGTTTTGTGATGCGAGAGACAAAAAACTTTGACTACCAAACGACTTGTCATTTCTTGATAAACAAATAAAGGTCACGCAAATGTGACATATTTCATCGTTAGATAAAATTTCAATCCATGTGGGAGCTCACATTAGATGTTTTTGAATTTCAAATTCCAAAAAATAAGTGCACCTAACACCCTATGATGTTTTCTTCTTGATATGATTTTAATCAAACTCAATAATTATAAATAAATACTAGTCGTGAGAGGACTCAAACTATTAAAGACCGGTTAAAAACGTGTTTTTTTTTTTTTTTTAAATAACAGTCGTCTACACGTGACGTGTTTCCAGAGTTCAAATCCTGAAAAATTAAGAGCACCTAATACCCTAAAATTATCACTAAAAACCCTTAAAAATTAATTTTGCAATTATTAATCCAAAACCCAAGTCCGGCTCCCCCCACTTCCCTCCAAGGCCGAAAACGGCTCTTTTTTTTTTTTTTTTTTTTTTTTTTTTTTTAAACTTTTTCTCTGTCTCCTCCTTTTTTATTTTCTATTATTTTTCTCATTATTTTATTTATTCTTTTTTCCTACCCCAAAAACCCTAACCATAATTTAATTTAAATCCCTCCACTCGCTCCAAAACCCCACTCCCTTTTCTTCTTCCTCCAGACCTTAAACCCTAGCCATCACCACTGAACCCTAGCCCTCCAACAATGGCGATTGACCCAAAGACCGTGGAATCCGACCGCGTCCTCATCCTCGACTACGGCTCCCAATACACTCACCTCATCACGCGCCGAATCCGCGCCCTCTCCGTCTTCTCCCTCTGCATCTCCGGCACCAGCCCTCTCTCCGCCATCGCCGACCACCATCCCCGTGTCGTCATCCTCTCCGGCGGGCCCCACTCCGTCCACACACCGGGCTCCCCTTCCTTCCCGGACGGCTTCGTCGAGTGGGCGGAGGCCAACGGCGTCTTCGTCCTTGGCATCTGCTACGGCCTCCAGCTCATCGTCCAGAAGCTCGGCGGCGAGGTTAGGATTGGGGAGAAGCAGGAGTACGGGAGGATGGAGATTGAGGTCGAGAGGAGTTCGGGGATTTTCGGCAACAAGAAGTGCGGAGATTCGCAGACCGTTTGGATGAGCCACGGCGACGAGGCCGCCAGGTTGCCGGAGGGGTTCGAGGTGGTGGCGCGGAGCCGGCAGGGTGCCTTCGCCGCCATTCAGAATCAGACGAGGAGGTTTTATGGCCTCCAGTATCATCCCGAGGTAACTTCATCAATTTGGCTTTGAATGTCACTGTTTTTTGATGGTTTTAGCTTTGAAAAATGCTATTTTTGTATGGTTCGGTTGGTATTGTCGGTTGGTATTGTTCATGAAAAATGCTTACTTGTTTGTGAATGTTTGGTTCAAAGAAATGAAGTTCAGATTTTTATGAACTATGGAGGGACTAAGTTAATGGTGTTATTGTCACTTAGTACACGGTCTTACTTTGTTAAAATGTTGGTAGATTAATTGCTTGCAAAAGCAAAAGTATGTATTTTCGGTTTTATGATTTTGAACACTATCAAAATTTATGCCAACTCTTGGCAGTGGTTTGCTCTTTTAAAAGTTATTTATTTATTTTTTGGCCCAAGTGAAATCAAATACTGAAATAAGTTACTCTGTGGAGAGTGAAATTTTTTAAATGAAAGCGTGTGTCAAGTTTTACTTTTGCCAATCTTGTGCAGGTGACACATTCGCCACTAGGGATGGAAACACTTTGTTATTTTCTCTTTGATGTTTGCGGTGTGAAGGCGGGTTGGAAAATGGAAAATGTTTTGGATCAAGAGATAAAAGTGATAAAAGAGACAGTGGGGCCTTGTAAGCATGTTATTTGCGCATTGTCCGGTGGTGTGGACTCCACAGTTGCTGCTACGCTTGTTCATAAAGCGATTGGTGATAGACTTCATTGCATTTTTGTTGACAATGGTTTGCTGAGGTGAGATGAAAAACAGTTTCTTTTTGATAGACCAACATGTTAGATAGTTCGATACCTGTTCGTGGAATATTATGAAGTTCAATGTCAAAGTTCAAGTTTTACATCAAGGATCTTTTCTTTGTTAGGTACAAGGAAAGGGAACGTGTAATGGAAACTTTTGAGAGGGATCTTCATCTGCCTGTTATTTGTGTGGATGCAACAAATGACTTTCTGAGTAAATTAAAAGGTGTGGAGGATCCCGAGATGAAAAGAAAAATCATTGGAAAGGAATTTATCAGCATCTTTGATGCTTTTGCCCACGAGTTAGAGAAGAAATTTGGAACAAAACCTTCCTACTTGGTCCAAGGAACCTTATACCCTGATGTAATTGAATCTTGTCCACCGCCTGGATCTGGTAGTACTCACTCTCACACAATCAAGAGTCATCACAATGTTGGGGGACTTCCCAAGGACATGAAACTGAAGCTAATTGAGCCACTCAAGCTTCTCTTTAAGGACGAGGTTTTGATTCTGCTTTCTCAATTTTTTTTTTTCCATTTCACATGAATATTCTCGCTTTATAAATCAATTCATAATATTTTGGTTGCCCTTCTTGTATAAAGGTTCGCCAAATGGGAAAGATACTAAATGTTCCAGAAGGATTTCTAAAGCGCCATCCCTTTCCTGGGCCTGGTCTCGCAGTACGAGTTATTGGTGATGTAACTGTGGGGAATTACTTGGACACCCTCCGCTTGGTATTCTTCATTTGCCATGTGAAAACTTGGACTTCTTGTTGCCTTTTATTTCCAAATTTCTTTCAATTTATGATTTCCTTTTCCAGGTTGATGAGATTTTTATCCAGGCAATCAAGGATGCTGGGCTTTATGATGTCATCTGGCAAGCATTTGCAGTGTTTTTGCCCGTGAAAACTGTTGGAGTTCAAGGTGATCAAAGAACACATGGTCATGCAGTTGCCCTTAGAGCTGTTACGAGTGAGGATGGAATGACAGCAGACTGGTAAGCCTTCACATATGGCATTTACACTATGCCATGTACTATGTAGCTTCGTTTCCCCCTTGTGCTGCATCTTTTCCTATTTAGTCACCCAGAAAATCAAAATTTTTTATTTATGTTGGAGTACGGCTGTTATTTTGCACTGACAAACAAACATAAGATAGCAAGAGTGAAGAATCAGTTATCTTTCATGTTACTCTTTCAATGATGCAGATAATTTGCATGTTGTAAAATCATAATAGAAACTATTTGTTCTGTGAAATTGTGCTTTGCACAATCTGGAAGTGCTCTTTTATCAAGTTGACATATATACATTCTAATGCATGTATGCTTTTCATAATGAATTCATGCTTATCTAATTATCCCTTTCCTCAATGCATCATCGCGTATTTACTTTGCCGATCTCTTTGTGGCTCCAGGTACCCTTTTGAATCCAAATTTTTGGCTGAAGTGTCGCAAAAGATTTGCAATAGTGTTCGAGCTGTAAACCGAGTCAGTTACGATATTACATCTAAGCCTCCATCAACAATTGAATGGGAATGACACAGGGAAGGATCCTTGTGTGATTTATAGGGTAGCGAACTTTATAGTTGTATACAAGTTAAGGTTCCAGTAATTTATGCTTTCCTTGGTATCAAATCTTGCAAGGTTGGCAAGAAATGGATTGGAATCGTATCCGATTTTTCGCTTTGAATAATCTTTGGAGCTATTTTGTACTAGTGTTTTAGCTCTTCACAAGATTTTGATCCTCACGATCTGCATTAAATTCAAATGATATGGAATCACAGAAGGTTACTATCATGGAATGAAGAATATTTAACTACTCTTCGCTGCAGAATGTGAAAGAACTTGTCTACGAATGTCTCATGGAATGATGCTGTGAGCTCTCAAGAAACAATTATCTTCAGTTGATCTGATGTAATCTTGATCATGTGAAGGAGATATTATGGCTTGTTCGGTTGCAGTTTTTAGTTATGGTAATTTGAGTGTAGATATTTTGTTGAATTTGAGTTATAATTTGAGTTTGTGTTTGGATGTGCATATTTGAGTTATGGTTTAAATTGAGAATCTATTTGAGTTTGTGTTTAGGTGGGTCAAAATTTAAATTTGTATTTAGATAGTATTTTAATAAAAACTTAATGGTGATGGAAAATTTTAATAGGGTTATGGATGAGGTTTTATTCGTCTTTTCGTTGTGAACACAGAAAAAAAATTATCTCAATCGGAATTAAAGTGAAAAAGTTATGGTGTTTTTAATTTGAATTTGAGTATAAGAACTTGAGTTGAAGGGGGAATTGAAAGTCAGATTTTAACTCTAAATTTAAATTAAAACTCGTTTAAATTTAAATTTTAAAAAGAATGTGAATTTGAATAAAATTGTAATTTGAGTTCAAATTTTTTTTGAGTTTTGATCTAAAATAACATGTTGTCCACTTCAATTTGTTTGACCACACGGCATCTAAAATAATTTCCTCACTCATTCCTAGGCCGGACTTTGGATCTATTGGGTCCGTTCAGTTCGCTAATTCGAGTTGAGATGTGATGTTATGTGAGAGCTTTTTACTGTAGCAAAAAAGTTAGATGTGACTGTTTCTGAGAGCTTTTTACTGTAACAAAACTCGAATTTTAAACTCGAATCATCGAAATGAACGGGACCTGTGTGTAAGACAATGTCTTGGAAAACCGGAAATCCTAAAAGAAGGGAAAAAATAAAAAAATAAGCTATTCTATCATTAAACATTTTAAGCACTCATAAATTCACACATTAATATAATTTACTATTAAGAATCTCATGTGATATTAGGATTGCAATCATAAGCTAATGATAAATAAAAAACCCGACTCTCCATCATGGTGTAACTTTCAAATTCTCCTCATCTTAAAAAAGAAAACTATCTCATATACAATTGTTATATGTCAATGTCCAACATAATAATCAATAATTTTCATCTTTGAAGCAATACGAAGACGTTTGGTTCATTATTAGAACTATTTTTGATTTATATGTATTTTTTGTGAGAGAAAATACTGTAACGAACTACGAACCATGATTCGAATCAGAGAACGAATCCCTCAACCAAACAACCTATTCAATGCGAATTAGATTCTTGGATTTAAGCTTAGTGTATATATGGTAAGAGAACCTCAAAATTCAAAAAATCTATTAAGATTGTAATTGCTTGGAGGGACGTATTTGACATAAAAATAGCATATTTTTGAAGCTAAATTAAGTAAATAGCAGATTTTAAAACTATTTAAAGTAAATAGCAGTTTACGTGGTAAATGAATTATTTATCATGTAAATGATTTCTTTATGATTGCTAAAAATAACTTACATGGTAAAAAAAATGTATTTTAGTGGAAAAAATATTTTTACCAACCATAAAAATAAATTTACTTAAAAAAAATATTTTCACTAATCATAAATGGTTCATTTACGCTATAAATGATCGATTTATCACATAAACTACTATTTATTTTAAATAATTTTCAAACCTACTATTTAATTAATTTAATTTTAAAAATCTATTATTTACTGCCTTCTCCCAAATATAAAAAGGGTAGAAATGGTGAATTGGTAATAACTTGTATCACGCGTTTACATAACAAGAAAATGCATCATTTCATGACCCCGGGGAAAGCAATACACAAGAAACAAATAACTTCCAAAGTTGGAAAGAGAAGAAAACATTAAAGAACGAGAAATCCAAGCTTAACACGTTTCCGAATCGATTGCTCTGATCTTTTTGTTTATAAATTTTGGCTGTTTTTTCAACTGCCAATATTTCATTTTCTCATGTGCGCAAAAAAAAAAAAAAAAATGACATTCTCTGCAGTCTGCATGGTTTTCATTCACATAATCAAAGCAAAATACTCATTTTTTTTTTCAAAATTTTTAAGATCTTTTAAGACCACTTTTACATTTAAAAAAAATATTTTTTAATGGGATGTGGTGCTTTACCACCAACCTGATTGAGGAATATATCCCAGCGACCTTAAAAAAAAAAAGAAGGAAAATAGAGAGATGAAAGAAAAACCACCAACCTGCATGGTTTTCATTCACGTTTTTTGAAAAAGTAAAAATGAAAATGGGACAAAAATGACGTTTGACACAATTAAAGACAAAAAATAGAAATGAAAATGATTTTTTAGTTTAGTATAAAATAAGAGATAAATGAAAAATAACTTTTAGACGTTTTTAATTTTTTGTTCTCGTTTTCTCCTCTCTCGAGCACAAAGAGAGAGAGATTTTTATACTTAAAACAATCTCTTGATAAAACTATCAAACGTATTTTCAAAAATGATTTATGTTTGAGATTAAAAATATTTTCATTTTCATATAAAAAATAAAATTATTTTAGAACGAATTCCAAACACATCTTTTCCGTTTGTTTATAGAGAGAGATTTTTATACTTAAAACAATCTCTTGATAAAACTATCAAACGCATTTTCAAAAATGATTTATGTTTGATATTAAAAACATTTTCATTTTCATATAAAAAATAAAATTATTTTAGAACGAATTCCAAACACATCCTTTCTGTTTGTTTAATTTTAAAATTTTCACATAAATATTTACTTTTTCTAGTTACCTTTGAAGACTAATAAATCACGTACAGCGGATATGATATGTTCTGTCAAAAAAAAAAAACATCCGTTGTAAATTTCGTGAAGTTAGAAACGAAAAGTAAGTTAAAATTCATATTAAATTCAATTTAAATTCAACGTTCTCAGAGAACATGTCAAATTAAAACAATATATATGCAGAACAATGTGATACTTAGGATTAGTACGGAAATATTTTTTAAAAATAGCATAAGTATTTTTTTTTTCTTTTTTTGTTACGAGATATGTATATCGAGGAGGGGCTCATGAGTCTCCTAACTCGAGAATAAGAAGTTATTCCTATTCCCACTCAAAACTCATCGGCAATCCCCATCCCCGTCTATTAGGGGCAGGCAAGCGCCCCACCGAAAAAATCTCATCCAATAAAATCAAAAGTTTAGAGAGCAATTTGTTTAGATTAAAAAAAGATTTTCTCCGGTAAGTTTTTCTATCAATAGTGTCAGTTTTTGATTGTTAGATTTGATCAAAATCACGTCAGATTAAAAAATATACAGAACGGATAATTTCTAATACAAATTTAACGACTTCAAAATAAAGAACTACTAATAATTTATTTATTTTTAATCTTATTAGAGAAACTCCTAATTAAAAATATAGAGAACAACCCTTGCGTCAATTTTCTAAACTTGAAACAAAACACGGTGGCTCACATGCTTTCTGTCTAAATCATAAAGGTTGAGATTTTCTTATTAGAGATGCTTAAAAATTGGCGTTCAAAGTTTGACAATTTGACAATTTTCTGTTTTTTAAATGGCAGAATATTTTGAGTATCTCTTTATGCTGCCTATTTTGACAAACCAATTATACATCCTTTGCTTAAAGTGAACAAACTTCACTTTTTCGGCAGACGAGATAATCCTTTATTTCAGTGCTATTACGTGCTTAAAAACACATTGCAGTACTTCATTATTATTATTATTATTATTATTATTATTATTATATTGCATGGAAATACATCTTTAAGATCAGATTTCTTTTCTTCTTCTTTAGTAATTAAATAGTTGGAACTCTTTATGTCATTACTCGCTAATTCTCTGTTGCATCATAACATGCTCAACTTTATATATCACTCCTTATTTTAAGGGAAAAGTGAAGAAGGGACATTTGTGCAGAATGATAAATATGCTGCAAAAGACTGACATTCAACTTTCTCTCTCTGTCTCAAATTATTGACCACATAGCTCATTCAATTCCTTTTTGTTTTCTTATTTTATTTACAAGAGCCAGAGACTTTAATTTACGAATTTAAAATTATTTTTAATTTACGTATATTTTTTATGAAAAAAAATATTATAATAAATCACGAATTATGATTCAAATTATGTCACGAATCCTCGTACTAAACATCTAAATTTTTCTTAATACAAGAAGCATTTTTGAGGATCTAATAATGATAATTCTTTGGCAGGATACCAAAAAAATATACTCGTAACACTATTTCAGAGAGTATGATCTTATCAGATTCTACCGTTTTTGCATACTTTTTTATTTCAATGTGATTTCGACGGATCTAATGTTATTAAGCATACGACCACATAACTCATTCAATTCCTTTTTGTTTTCTTATTTTATTTACGGACAGAGACGTTTAATTTATGAATTTAAAATTATTTTTAATTTACGTATATTTTTTATAAAAAAAAATATTATAATAAATCACGAATCATGATTTAAATTATAATACGAATTCTTACTCTAAATGCAGCTTAGACAAACCCTAATAAAATAATAAAATAATAGTGACACTTCACCAAAATCTCTTTTAATGAGATAGCGTGCACAGCCCGTCGTTCATCCACCAATTGAAAACTGCCACGTACTCAAGCCTAAAACTTCAAAATACTCCATCAGTGCCAGAAACAATTTACCGGCAATAGAAGAAAAAAAAAAACAACAAAAATTAAAAATAAAGAAAGAAAGGCCAGAGAGAACGTAAGATCGCATCAAAAACCTAAACCGCGGATTCTGCCAGAACACCGACGTCTGTCACCGATACCAACCAAACGGAGGTCTTGTTTTAGAGAGAGAGAGAGAGAGAGAGAGAGAGAGAGAGAGAGACTTAGAATGTCCATCATCAATGGACCTGGTTAAAAACTACATGACAAAGAAAAAGCTCTTGCTTATAAAGTTAAAACTCAATCTTCATACCGTAGATTGAATAATTAAGGAAATGATCCCGTCGACAGTGGAAGATTGAACCGAGTGAGAATCTAAATGGAGATTGCTCAAGGCATCTATGATTTCTAGCAACAATCCCTCCCTCCATGGACATCTGATCTCAATTATGACAACTTTGTTCTTCATACTAACAGCTATACTATCAGCTGAGCTATCCTTTGACACTGTGTGATTCGTGTATGGCCCCACTTCCTCCATGTCACAAGCCTTCCTCTTGTTCACTGATGGCTTCTTCGCCTTATCATTTTTCTTGTTTCCGTAGTTATCAGATGTTCCCTCTCTGGCATCTTGGGGTTTTCTCCTTGTTTTTGGTTCTAAGTCTTCCAACTCCCTGCAAGATTCCAACTCCTCAATCCTTCTCTCTAGCTCTTTCAGATATTCTATTGCATCATCAAGTATAGATACTTTGTCATCCTGTAAAGACAAAATGGAAAAGCGTTTTACTTTGTACTTAAATGTCTTGGCTAATGGAGGGGGCAAAAAAAAAAAAACATCAAGTTGTATTTACCTTGGTTAATGAAGGAATCATCGTTTTTAGAATTGAGAATTTTTCATTTAATCTTTCCCTTCTCCTCCTCTCAGACAATGCATGGTTAACTCCTACTTCATCAGCTTCTGGTCTCCAAGCCCCATTCTTATTGCCGTTATCTTCAGCCGAATCTACCATGCGCTTAACGTGCATCCGAGGAACTTCAAACAAGACCTTCTTAACTAACTTCTGTGAAGCATCGTTTTTAGAATTGAGAATTTTTCATTTAATCTTTCCCTTCTCCTCCTCTCAGACAATGCATGGTTAACTCCTACTTCATCAGCTTCTGGTCTCCAAGCCCCATTCTTATTGCCGTTATCTTCAGCCGAATCTACCATGCGCTTAACGTGCATCCGAGGAACTTCAAACAAGACCTTCTTAACTAACTTCTGTGAAGCTCCACCTCTTGGTTTCTTCGCAACTCGTCCTTTCTTCCAACTGATGAAGCTGGACCCCTGATGAAGGTTCTGAAAGTTAGGCCCCAAAATTAACTGGTGTGAGCTCTTGAAGAGAGTCGAAATAACGCCCTTATAATGTATGTCTTCACTTCGCAAATCCAGTGAAGAAATTTTGGTTTGATTGCACTCTTTAAGGTCCTTTACTCGATGATCTTGTGCCGTTTCACGCTTAGAACTGAGAGCAACCTTCTCGGGTTCTACTAGAGTTTGCGATATACAGTCACTTGAGTCCATAGATTGAGGGACACAATTACTGACTTCATCATCCATAACTTGCCAGCTTTGTACTTGGGAAGCCGCCCCATTTTTTCCTTCCACCATAAAAGAATCTTCAGTTGGCTGATTTGGTTCCAACCCATTAGAACTGGGACTAGGAGAAGACATATTTATTTCTTCTCCTCCTACAACTGGAGTTGGTACACCCGCAAAACCTTTGTCTGCACCAAGGTCGGATTTCTTAGAAGATTTGGTGTACGGAATCTCCAAAAGTGACATCTTAACTTGGTCAATGAGAGCATAGTCCTCCACAACCTTCACAAAAAGAAAATTGGGCAGAACAGTTTACATCAAATCTCAAGTCTAAGATCGATTAAACTCTAAATCCACTCGTGCATAAGACATTCAGAGAAGAAAAGTACCAGATCAGTCACGCCCAGCTCGATCACACCTCCCAAAAATGGAAAGCATGCCACAGTCTTGAAATGGAAACACAAAATGACATCTACTTAGTTTGGGTCATAAAAGAAATTATGGCGAAAAATCATGTTTAAATATTTGCAGTTCAAGCCAGGGAAAGATCAATGACCATGTAGTAGTACCTGAATTGATGCACTCTGAGTAGGATCGTCATTACCAAGCATGAAAAGGAAAACAAACAGAATATGTTAAGTTTTATCGTGAATCCAAAATACCACCAATCTATATTAACCAGAAATAGTTGGTGCAATATGTCACTTGAGAAACCGAAAATTACCTTTGCCAGCAGAGAACGGCTAAATACTTTGCTATCTGCAAAAGGAGCATTGCATAGCCAGATTGGTTGACCATCTGCTAGTGTTCTTCCTGGCAATCTGAAGAACATAGAGGAACAACAAAAGTATGATTTTCATATAACAATGCAAAAGACAAATGTTCCATCTTTCCATAAGAGTTCAAAGGTAAATAAATGAGAAATCATTACAATAAAAAAAGAAAAACTAAGAAAAATAAATTACCCTTGACCAGTATTGAAGACAAATGACATGCAAACCAGGTAATACCACTCTGTATCAGAGAGATCTTCAGGAGATAATGCTGCAGAGGGCCTTTTAGCTTGTGGGTTGGCTTCACCTGCAGAGAGTGACTCATAAAGGGCCCTCAATTGCTCACTCCTTTGCAGACCTATTTGGTCAGCATTTAGTTCCACAGCTTGGACTGTTTTCCTTGTCTTAATATCTCCATTGTAATAACCCTCACCCCATTCCAACACCCTACATATTTTTCATCAACATGTTTATAGTAAAGTTAATAACTTTGAGCTATGATAATCAAGGCCGTAAGATTTCAAAACAGGCATAAAGAAATTCTCAGGATAAAAAGAAAAACAAAGAACAATGTTAAGAAAAGATGAGCAGAGTCAAAGAGTTAACTTTGATATCATTTTTCTTCATGTTAAGAAGGGCTAAAATGAAAAAACCAACCAACCCATCAAGTCAAACCAGTTTAATTTTTGCAGAACCAAAACTTTAGATGATTTCTCTTTGGAACAAGAAGATTAAATGTTATATGGAGTTAATTACCTATAGGAAAATCTTATAAAACAATACTACCATGCTAAAAGCAAATAGACCAAAGAGGGGTTCTTTTTTTTTTTTTTTTTTTTTTTTGGCAACCAACTTAACTTATTTCATCTAGGCATTTCCAAATTCTTTTAGCCAAATCCAGTTCAGAAAATTCAAAGAAAGAGAAATTTGTTCAAAAACAAATGTTAAAAAAAAATCCAGATTAGGGAGAATATAAGGGACTGGTATGTACCCTGGTTGTCTTGCTGAAATGGACCAGAAGATGGCATAACTCCATTGGATGCTTCTCACAGCAAGAGCAAGCTGTTTCTTTAAGTTCTCTGGCACTTTCTCCTCGTTTTGGAGCCCAGTAGCCATATTCAAGCTCAAAGATTTTGATTTGAAAAGACAAACAAATAAATAAAGAGATAAAATAGAAACACCCCACCACTCAACTTCTTGTTTTCAGGTCCTAAATCTTCATTTCTCAGAACCTGAATCAGGCAATCTCTATGGAAATCTCCCACAAAACATCAGCAAGTTCATGTCTTTCGCCTCAAATTCAAGACAAAACACATAATCCCAGATGGGTTTTCCCAAATTTGGAGCTGAAAAAATGGTATAGAGAAGAAAGAGAAGAAGAAGCTAAACACTGATCTTGTTTCATAAGTGGAAGACCACAACTAGACTGATAAAAAATCACTTTCCCTTTTGGTGGTGCTGATTCTGAATCAGAAATCTCACTTTCATGAGAAAGAAAAAAGGGAAAGCTAAAGCAAGAGAGAGAAATCTTGTATAAATAATAGTAATAACAATAAGGCGGTACTCAATATTTCATTTGAAAAAAGCTACAAGCCTTTTGTCATCATAGAAAAAAAGGCAAGGTTTTCTTAAATGGTTATAAGGTGGTATTCAAATAAAAATGCATGATCTTCTTATGGACTTTTTGAAGCTCTCAAACTCTTAAACACACGTAAAAAAAATTAAATAAAAAAACAAGTAAATAAAAGAACCAATATTAAAGACCTGATGACCCAGAAAAACTGAATTACATGGGGGACCTACTTTCGACATCCACAAAAACCCCACCTTGTATAAGTTGTTGATTTTCAGTTTTTTTTTTTTATTCCCCTTAAAACTGTCCAAAAACCAAGTCGGCAACCAAGAAAAAGAGGGGAAAGAGCTTCAGTTTAGTCAAGAGTTAAAACACATTTCCATGTTAAAAAATGGGCTTTGACGATTGACTCATAATGATATTCAAAACTGGTATGCTCAACAACCCAACAAGATTGTTACATATATACATACACAAATCGGAAGAACAGCAGAAGGAGAAGGAAAGACTCTTTCACTTTTACTAATACAAGTAAAATGAGAGATGATGTACAAAGAAGAGAGAGGAAAAAGAAGGGTAAGAGAGAGGGAGGAAGATTGTCAGGTAAAAGTGGTCCCATGGACTAAATAAGCGCCCACCTCGGTGGCGGTACATACTTTAATGGTGGATTTGGTGAAAAATCATAAACAAAAAACAAGAGTAATTAATTGTGTTAGAGTCTGTGTGGTTCATGTATTAAAATAATGAGATTAAAATTATTTTTAATTTATATATATTTTTTATGAGAAAAAATATTGTAGTGACCATAAATTATTATTCAAATCAGAGAATGAATCTTCCAACCAAACGAGCCCGGTCTCTCTCTCTCACCATTTTCTTGTTTCATTTAGGTTTTTTTAGAATATGTTTTATTAGTACCGGTATTTCTTAGAGAGATTTCTAAAACTCCGTTCATTTCACTGATTTGAGTTTAGAATTCGAGTTTTGTTATAGTAAAAAGCTCTCAGAAATAGTCATATCTAATTTTTTTACTATGGTAAAAAGCTCCCACATAAACTTACATCTCAACTCGAATTCAAAACTCGAATCAGAGAACGAAACGGGCCCTAAATTTTAGTTATAATAGTTAGAAAGTTATTTTAATTAATAATTTTTTAGTGAATTATTCAATCATACTCTATATTTTAATTAAATATAAATTATTTTATTGAATTTAAAAAAAATTACATTTATTACAATTAAAAGAATAAAATAATATAAAAAAATAAAATGACTGGTTACTCCATACTACTTATATTTAACTAGTGTGGAATGCATTCTTTAAAATAGTTAATCATTTAATTAATTATTAGAGTGAAGAAAAGTAAAAAAAAATTAAATAATATTTTAGCTAAATAATATTTTAACTAAAACAATGAAATGACTAGCATAATTGCTCACTTTTATTTTTCCCAATGAGTTGTAATGTAAATTTTTGGGAAATTTTATTGTAATTAGTTGTTGTTTTTACCTTCATTTTCGAATTTACTCTTTTTTCATTTCTTAAGAAAAGATTAGAAAGTGTCTCGCTTAACTCACCTATTTACCCATTGATCTAAAATTCCAATAAACAAATGTGAATATATTCTCTCGATCAACATCTTACAAAATTTTATTCTGAATTTTAAGAAAAAGTCGTGGTTGTATTGCAAGACATTAATTCGATGGTACTCCAACATTTTGAAGTCCTTAAATCCACTACCTTTTGTCGAGAAAAAGGGAGAAAATTGTAATTATATTAGAATAACAAAATCCATCGCCCTTTTATTCAGAAAAAATATTGAGAAATTTGTAATTTTATTTATTTAAAACAGGATTTAACACTATTAGAACTAATCATAAGATTCTTTTTCTTAATCTCTCAATGGCAAAAAGGTCAATGTCAATTTCCATATAGTAGTTGTAAATGAAGTTCCTGCCTGGCCAACAAGGAGTTCAAAACCAGAATTTTATGAACAATAAGTAATATTTAGGACAAACCCCTTATACGCAATTTGGAATTAACTATTAAAACTAGAAAGAAATAAAAAAAAAATACATGATATGCTCTAAAGTCTTATGGATGCAACATAAAAAAAAAAAAATTCTACAAAAATTTATACTTTTTTTAAGGAGACAAGAAAAGTTCATACTTTCCTATTACTTGAAATGGGTTTGATACATTTCTTTATTAAGCAGCTTGTGACATTGAATTTCCATTATGGTGCTTTCCTTTCTATTTCTGAGAATATATACCTTGTGGCAATGGCACCTCAATGGTAGGGTACAATTATTATAAATGACATAAATTCAGATTATAACTTCAATATTACTCATACCTTTATATATTGACATTCCATTTTCATAATGGTTACTAGTCATATTCTTAAAAACAATACTATAAGATACTAATAGTGTTGAACATCACTAATTATTAATAAAGTACTATGTGTATGGTGATGATGCTCCAAGCATTTTTTTAATTTGTAAACCCTATTGACTTTATTACACTTTTTATCCTTGTTCTCAAAGTATATTTTCGTCTTGTAAGTAGTCCGAAAATTAATATGGATAGCGTTTGTACACATAAAACTATGATCTAAGACTCTTTGTCCTCTAGTCTTTACATTCATGGACTTGGAATTTTATACTCGACTTTAAAAAATAAAAAAAAATAAAAAAAAAACATTGCGAACGAGGCTGCGTATGTATTTACAACTTGCAATATGATCAAATCCAAATTTGTTACGTGGCTTTAAGTTGACCTTTTTTTTTGTTTTGACACCTATTGTAATGCAATCTGTATACATGAATGAACGTTTGTTTTGTTTTTTAATTGTAGTGCGCTTTTAATGGTTACTTTAATATTTATTTACGAATAGATAAATATATATGTACAATAAGAATAATTATATCTACAAAACACGTAGATAGAGTAGAATAAAAATATCCGCATGCGTCGTAGTCGACTTTTGTAGGTTTATCTGTGATTTCTTTGGCTTTGTAGAGAAGTCCATTGTAATTCTAAAATTGTCTACTTAGATCAACAAAAGGGGGTGCCTATTGTAATATGATGCATCTTTCATTTGAAACAAAACCAAAGAAAGTAATTAAAAAAAAGTTAGAGATCTTAACTATCTTCTTTTCTTTTTCATTTTTAATATGAGAATTGTTTTAAGGGAAAATTTCATTCTAAATTTAACTAATATGAAAATTTTATAGCAGATCTAGTATGAATAGGGTTATGATTTCAACAATGATATATATATATAATCTGTCAATTTTATACACATTTTTTATTTTAATTTGATTGCATACAATATCGGTAGAGATATCTTATTATAAGAGTATTTTTAATTATTTTTTTGGGTGGGTGGCTGGGATAGAATTCAATCATTGGTTAATGCTTGTGAGTTGTGAGAAGACCCTAACAAGGAACCCACAAGAAGTAATGTGATTGATGGTCATGAGTTTATGATACGTCTGATATTCTTATGATAACAAGAGAAAAAAAACAATATCTGCTTTCCTCATGCAATAATGCCTATGATTGTTTCATAGGATTTGCTTTTCCCTAATTGCTAGCTTTTTCTTCACGCGTATCAACCTTTTTGTTACCACTAGGATTAATAATATTGGGTTTGATTTGGCTAGGACAAATCTGTTCACATTTCAAGGATAAACTAAATTACATCATCATTGATGCTTGTCCAATTATATATATACACACACACATAGGACATTTCTACCCAAGATATATAGCACTAATGTGATTTCATACTTGAAAAAAAAAAAAAAAAAAAAAAAAAAAAAAAAAAAGGGGCTTCTTTTTCTCCTGTGATGTAATTATTTTTATTTACTTTTGATTTTTCACCGATTTAAGTTTTCAGTTTTAAGTTTCTACAGTAAAAAGCTCTCAGAAAATGTCACATCAACTTTTTTGTTACAGTGAAAAACTTTCAGAAAATGTCACATATCAGCTCGAATTAAAAACTCGAATCCGTGAAGTGAACGAGACATTTGTGTATAATTTTTGAATTCCATGAATTTTCTGCCAAACTACTAATATAGTCAAAACAATACAGCTTTGAAGCACTCAGCAACGTTAAAACTTCCAACGAAAATGTGTAATAAAATTTTAAGTGGAAGTCAACCACTCGTGGCCGGAGACGAATTTCCTAATACTTTACAAGTGTAGCCATCTATTCTCTACGAAAGCCAAAAAAGAAAGAAAAAAAAAAAGGTTTATACGTAGACAAAGAAAAATAAGCCCCGTTCATTTTACCGATTCGAGTTTTATTACAGTAAAAAGTTCTCAGATACAGTCATATCTAACTTTTTTACTACAGTAAAAAGTTCTCACATAAAGTTACATCTCAACTCAAATTAAAAACTCGAATCAGCGAACTAAACGGGCCTATAATTTTCCAGCAAGAATAGGAGAAACGCCACGATAGAAACTGATATAATAATAAACTTCACATGAGGGTGTGTAAGAAAAATGCTTGGTGGAATCGTGTTCAACACCACATGAATTGATAATTAAAAACGAGTTTGTAGAATTCATCTCTTATTTGTGTGTAGTATCCGGTGTCACTGATACTCTTTATTATTATTCTTGTCGAATTTAAATTCTTTTTTAAGTTAAATACTTGTTCTTTTCACAACTTAAATTTTTTTTATTATATTGTTTTCACTTATAAAAATTTAAATTTAATTTTTTTTATTATAGTATTTTTTCTCACAAAAAAGAGTTTGAGTTATGATTTGAGTTGTGAAAAGAACACAAATATATGTTTTAAAGCAAAAATCGCTTTCACAAGTTGCCATTAGTTTCCTAATATCATGTTAATAAGCCCTGTTCATTTTACCGATTCGAATTTTATTACAGTAAAAAGTTCTCAGAAACAGTCATATCTAATTTTTTTACTACAGTAAAAAGTTCTCACATAAAGTTACATCTCAACTCAAATTAAAAACTCGAATCAGCGAACTAAACGGGCCTATAATTTTCCAGCAAGAATAAGAGAAACGCCACGATAGAAACTGATATAATAATAAACTTCACATGAGGGTGTGTAAGAAAAATGCTTGGTGGAATCGTGTTCAACACCACATGAATTGATAATTAAAAATGAGTTTGTAGAATTCATCTCTTATTTGTGTGTAGTATCCGGTGTCACTGATACTCTTTATTATTATTCTTGTCGAATCTAAATTCTTTTTTAAGTTAAATACTTGTTCTTTTCACAACTTAAATTTTTTTTATTATATTGTTTTTACTCATAAAAATTTAAATTTAATTTTTTTTATTATAGTATTTTCTCTCACATAAAAAAGTTTGAGTCATGATTTGAGTTGTGAAAAGAACACAAATATATGTTTTAAAGCAAAAATCGCTTTCACAAGTTGCCATTAGTTTCCTAATATCATGTTCAGACTTCAGTTTTCCATCAGATGATTTATAAGTTTAATATAGTATTTATTCAGCATATAGAAATCTGACCTC